TCCGAGACAAAGCGAGGCGCGGTTTTGCCCATGTGCGTCCCGACCCCCCGTTTGGCGGGGGTTCTAGGGCAAAACCGGAGGGGGAAGGGGCAAGACTGGGCGGGCAGCTGCAGAGAGCTCTGCAAAGGTGGGGGACGCGATGCGCCAGGGTGGGCTGCATTGCGCGTTACCCTTCACAAAAGATCAGAGACCCAGCGCGCCTGCGATCCTCGAGGGGCGGTGGTCCCGTAGTTTTTCGTGGATGAAAGGCTAATAATACTCGTATGTACGAGGTTAATTTTACCTCCTTCCATTGCCTCTAAGAGAGACCTTCTTAGGGCGTGAACACATTTGGAGAAAGAGCAAGAGAAAAGGGGGAGTGTGCTTTTCATTAATGGGTCCTTCAGGACTAAGTGGTGTGAGTAAGAAAATACTTAAAGCAAGGAGGTAAAAGGCTAGCGAAGAAATAAAATTCCGAGGCCAGGGGGATTTTTTTTTTTTTTTGCGCGCGCGGTTACAGTGTAGCGGTGGGGGGCGGGGAGGAAGTGCGGCTGCTACGTTGTAGCAGAAGGGCGGGACCCTGTGGGGGCGGGGCTGGAGCCCCTGGCGCGCGTGGACAATGCGGCCCAGCCGGCCAGCGGGGGCGCGCTAGTTCGAGCAGAGCCCTGCTCCTCGCGCGCGGAATTTGTGCCCTTGGCCCCGCCCACGCGTAACACCTCCCTTTGTCGGCGACTCGACGTGCGCGTGCGCCGCAGTCACGTGGAGGGCGGGGGTGGTCGACTGCAGCAGCAGCAGCCGCAGCTCGTTTCTCAGACCCCGGTCTTTGTGCCGACGTGGAGGGGCGGTGCCCAGTATGAAGAGCGGGGAGGGGCGCTTATCCAAATAAGGTGGACCTCCTTCCACCCACCCTGGTGCTTGGGAACGCCGGGCTTTCCCAGCTGCACATCGTTTTATATCCCAAGCATCTCTCCTGGGTGTGCGAGTGTTCAGCCGAAGGGTGTAGGAGGCAGACACAGGGGTTGTCAGCCCTACAGCAGGGCCTACCACTAGCGTACCTAGAACTAAAATGGGAGCGGGAGGCGTGGTTGGCTGGGATATGAGCTGTTGAGGTCTCATTTCTGTCCGGCAGTTCTGGGAGGTGATCAGTGATGAACACGGCATCGACCCCACCGGTACCTACCACGGAGACAGCGACCTGCAGCTGGACCGTATCTCCGTGTACTACAATGAAGCCACAGGTGAGGCAGGAGCCCGGGAATCTCAGGTCCCATTTCCTTTCTCCCACTTGGGGGTCTCTTTCCATCCTTGGGGGTCTGGGGCCCCTTAATCTATTTTGGATTAATTCATCCTTTCCCTTTTCATCAGTGTCAAGGATTGTCTCTACTGCCACCTAGTGGCTGGGCCTGAAGTGACAAGTTTGGGTCTCTGGCTGTCTTCCAACCTCATTTACCTCCTTCTCTGCAAGCTCTCACATCTCTACTTTATTCCCTGTAGGTGGCAAATATGTTCCCCGAGCTATCTTGGTGGATCTAGAACCTGGGACCATGGACTCTGTTCGCTCAGGTCCTTTTGGCCAGATCTTCAGACCAGACAACTTTGTTTTTGGTGAGTTATACGGAAGATATTAGTAGATACCATCATATTTGCTGTATTTGGGTGCAAATGTTACGAGGAAGAGTTACGAGGTGATTGTTGTACTGGAGAGCTTATGCAGGGCTGTGTTCTGAAATATGTCACAGAGGGCAGACACAGTGATTGCCCTAATTGGTAAATTGTTGGGGGGTGGGGGGTATATCACAGGTGAAGGAGAAAGCAGATTCATCTAAGGAAATTATTTTAAAAGTTGAAAGATGAGAAAGTCGTGTATCTTCCACACCTTACTAATCAAGTGTTTTTCCTGATCCCATTCTAGGTCAGTCTGGGGCAGGCAACAACTGGGCCAAGGGCCACTATACAGAGGGTGCCGAGCTGGTTGACTCGGTCCTGGATGTGGTGCGGAAGGAGGCCGAGAGCTGTGACTGCCTGCAGGGCTTCCAGCTGACCCACTCACTGGGTGGTGGCACAGGCTCTGGAATGGGCACCCTGCTCATCAGCAAGATCCGTGAAGAGTATCCTGACCGCATCATGAACACCTTCAGTGTGGTGCCCTCACCCAAAGTGTCCGACACTGTGGTTGAGCCCTACAATGCCACCCTCTCTGTCCATCAGTTGGTAGAGAACACTGATGAGACCTATTGCATTGACAACGAGGCGCTCTACGACATCTGCTTCCGTACCCTCAAGCTGACCACACCAACCTATGGAGACCTTAACCACCTCGTCTCAGCCACCATGAGTGGTGTCACCACCTGCCTCCGCTTCCCTGGCCAGCTCAATGCTGACCTCCGCAAGCTGGCAGTCAACATGGTGCCCTTCCCACGTCTCCACTTCTTTATGCCTGGCTTTGCCCCTCTCACCAGCCGTGGAAGTCAGCAGTATCGGGCCCTCACTGTGCCCGAACTTACCCAGCAGGTCTTCGATGCCAAGAACATGATGGCTGCCTGTGACCCCCGCCACGGTCGGTACCTCACCGTGGCTGCTGTCTTCCGTGGACGGATGTCCATGAAGGAGGTAGATGAGCAGATGCTCAATGTGCAAAACAAGAATAGCAGCTACTTCGTGGAATGGATCCCCAACAATGTCAAGACGGCTGTCTGCGACATCCCACCTCGTGGCCTCAAGATGGCGGTCACTTTCATTGGCAACAGCACAGCCATCCAGGAGCTCTTCAAGCGTATCTCAGAGCAGTTCACTGCCATGTTCCGCCGGAAGGCCTTCCTCCACTGGTACACAGGTGAGGGCATGGACGAGATGGAGTTCACTGAGGCTGAGAGCAACATGAATGATCTCGTCTCTGAGTATCAGCAGTACCAGGATGCCACCGCAGAAGAGGAGGAGGATTTCGGTGAGGAGGCCGAAGAGGAGGCCTAAGGCAGAGCCCCCCATCACCTCAGGCTTCTCAGTTCCCTCAGCCTTCTTCCTTAACTGCCCCTTTCTTATCCATCACAATTTGTGTTTGCTGCCTCCATCTTGTTTTTTCTTTCGGGGGGAGGGGTCTAGCGCAGTGCCTGTCATATAATAGGCGCTCAATAAATGTTTGTTTGTTGAATGTCTCCTTTCTCTTTCCACTCTGGGAAACCTAGATTTCTGCCATTCTGGGTAATCCTGCATTTCCTTTTGGTGCCCCCACTCCTCCCATCTGTCCAGTTAATATTTCCTTCTGTTTTCAGAATAATTTTTCAAGAAGCTGGGTCTCATCCAGATTCCATTTAGAGCCAACTGGTAGCAGAAAAGCCAGAAAATGGCCACCATCCTAAGCCCAAATAGTAGCAGGAGGAAAGGAGGTAGAAGATAGCAGATAGAGATCACTGCAAGGAAGGGGATGGGACTTTGTATTCTAGAACAGTTTTGGAGAGGGCAATCCCAGCTATTAAGTCATAATTTCCAGGTATTTCCGTGCTCCATCTCTCATCTTCAGGGGAGGTATTAACAGTATTATCTCCATTTCAGTTTCCCTTCAGGCTCTGTCCTGAGCTCTTTCCTTTGGAGGGGTCTGCCCCACTCTGCCAACTGGGATTCTTCCATCTCCCACTTTATACCTCCCTCACTTTGGATCACTTCCTTTCCCCTGATCAGAGAAGGAGATCAAGAGGGGAAGAGACCAGCTTAGGTCCCTAAGCCTCCAGAAATGCCCTCCTCATCCCCTTTTCTTACTCCCAAAGAAGGAAGAAAGTCCCTGACAGATGTAGAAAGGTGCACACAGCCTCCTAAATGAGTCATTCCCCAGAGGAGAGGACAGAATGCCCTCCATCTTTTTTGCAACATTTCATCTCTTCCTTTTGCTATTGCCTTTCCCCCCCACACTTGGTTTTGTTCTATCCTACACTTCAGATTTCTATTTTATGTTTAACTTGCTTTTTTTCATATTGAAAAGTTGACTGCCCCAAGAGCCAAAAATAAACGAGAACTGAAAAAAGGTTGCAAGATGTGTACTTTTTTAGGGAAGGATTGCCGGTGGAGGCATGGAGCCTGAGTTTAGTTATACTCTGCTCTCCCTAAACTGATGAGAATATCATATTTCATTGACCCTTTTCCTAGCTTAATCCCTGGTTCCCAAACCCCACCTCACCAGAACCAGTCAGTATTAATAACTCAGATAGGCACAGGCTCAGATATAGGACCTAAGGATGGAAAGTGTTAACTGTGGTGAATGTCAAATAGTGTGTAATTGTTTCCCAGACCAGCAGAAACAGCATTCCCTGGGACCGTAAAAATGCAAGTTTTCAGTCCCATCCAGATGTATGGAACCAGAAACTGATTGGACCCCAGGAGTCTTGTTTTCACAGTGCTCGAGAGGACTGACATGAATGCACAACTGAAAGCCACTACACCATTTCCAGTGTACAGCCTGTCCAGGACTCTTGGGTTATGGGTGCCTATGGCCTTTTCCTGTGAGCCTGTGGGCTTTTTAAGTCAAAGATGACTAGTGGGAATCCCACCTCATTGTCTATTAAAATAATGTAGTGTTCCTCTAATACCTCATTCTTCCCTTGGAGTACAAGATAAGTCCAAGCTACCCTACTTATTGTACTATTTATTAACCTTGGCCACATTCTTAGTATTTCTAGGATCTAATGGAATTCTCAATGTTCCTTCTACTTTAGCATGCTTTTCTGACTTAACCAACTTTTAGGAAAGCATGGTGTTGATAACACCAACATCAAAGTTTAGGTTCCCCATACCCGCCAGCCACCCCCCTCAAAAAAAAAGCCTATAGGGGCCGGCCCCGTGGCGCAGAGTGCGGCGCTGGGAGCCCAGCGGCGCTCCCGCCACGGGTTCAGATCCTATATAGGGATGGCTGGTGCGCTCACTGGCTGAGCGTGGTGCAGGCGACACCAAGCCAAGGGTTGTGATCCCCTTACTGGTCACGAAAAAGACAAAAAAAACCAAAACTATAGAATGCAAGGGAGTAAGCTACATTCTAGCATTCATTTTGAATTGGTTTTATTAAGTTCATTGTTCATAAGTATCAGTACTTACAACTTATTTGGCAAGTAAAGTTGACAACCTCTGGACCATCCCTTAGTCGTGGTCAGAAAAGAATTCTAGACAACAGGCTCAGGCAGTCCCATTTAATTAGGAAGTTAAATAAGTCAGGATGGGGTAGAGTGGTGTCAGGAAGCTGACATGGAACCCCTGGGGCACTGGCAGTCACAGCAATGTAGAGCTGGGGAGGGGAGCAACCCCCTCCAAGGCAAGGCACGGGCTATTTGGCAAGGAGAGATGAGTGGAACCCCACTGTCGGAGGCATGCTCAGGGAGGCCAGCTTGGGTACATGCAACAGGGACCATTCAGGCAACAGGAGTCATGAGGCTGGGCATCAGTGAGGGCTGAGGCTTAGGCTGTTCGCAAAGGCTTGTGGTTAACCTGGCAAGAAGACAACAGTGGATGACACTTGGGAACTAGGCACCCTGCTCTCCCAGGCCCCTATTTGGATGAATGGACTGCAGGGAGGACATGCACGTCCACGAGTCTTCTTGCTGGTGCCCCAAGCAAAGTCATCAGGATCCATGTATCATAAATCACTGGAGAGAGGGTAGAGAGGCCCAGAGCTTTGCTCGCACAGCAATCTCAACTCCCAGTCTTCACAGGCCTCAAGGAGGCTCCAGGGAACCCAGCTTGATGCAGATCATTGGTATGACCCAATGCTTTTGTTGATGTGTGTTTTTTTTATTTAACACTCACAATGCTTACTATGTGCCAGCCACATAATAGGAACCCAGCAATTCTGCTCCGTGGCCTCCACCCCAGAGCCCCTCACCTGGGAGATGCTGACACCCGTGAGTCTCTCCACACTCTCTGGCAGGCGGCTTAGGATATCCAGTACTTCCCCAGTCACTTTGGCTGCCCCCATGGTCCCACTTCCACTGGACACCAGTGTGATCTTTTTGGCCGAGGTCAAAGGACCACTGATCTCCTCTGCCACCTGGTAGGTGAGAGACGCCCACTCAGTACCCATGATCTGACCACACCCCGCATAAAAAAAACAGCCTGGATTTTAAGACCCTTGTTCTACTCATCCTTGTTCCTCACTTGGTCACAGGCTCATAATTCCAACCCCTAATTTACGATCCCCTAGCCAGGAAGTCCCTTATTTCACACCCTGCCTCTCAGTCCCTGGTTCTGGTTCCTCCCCTCCTGGTGCCCACACACAACCCCCAGACCTGGGGCAGCTTCTCCAGCAGCATATCCAGCTGAGCAGCCTCCTGGTACAGCTGGAATGCTTCTGCCTTCTTGGCCATCTGCTCAGCCTCGGCTCGGGCTCGGGCCCCTATGGCAAAGGCCTCGGCTTCCCCACGCATCTGAGGACAGAACGGGATACTTGTCATGTGACTGACGGCAATAATGAAGAACAAGTAAGCCCAGCTCAAGCAGAAACCCCCACTCCTTCCACAAGCCAGCAGGAACCACTTCCTAACTCACCCGCACAGACTCGGCATCTGCCTCTGCCTGCATAATCAGCTGGGACCTGGAGACAGAAGAGAAGTGGAAGAAGGAGCCAAGTAGGGGCCCTTGCTCCCAGGAGAAAGGCCAAGTACTGAAGAGACAGAGGCTCTTGCAACCTGAGTTCTGTACGAGTCGAGATAGTAAAGGCCTCAGCTCTCCAGCTGGGGGCGCCTGGGTGGTAAAGGGGCCAGAACAGGATTGAGGAAGGGAAATTTACTTCTCTGCCTCTGCTAGGCGCTCCAGCTTGTAACGCTCAGCTTCTGCTGGCTTCCGCACCCGGGCCTCCAGCTCCTTCTCTCGGCGGGCGATCTCCTGCTCCTGCACTGCCACCTGCTGGGCCCGCTCCACCACCTGCACCTGCACCCGCTGTTCTTCAATCTGCTGCTTAGTCTTGGCCACCTGGGTAGGAGGGGCACTCAGAATCAGAGCTGAAGAGCAAGTGCCCAGGAACCAGAGAAAGCCAGGGCTCCAGGGTTGGATATAAAAATAGGAGTAGGTACGCGTTTCAGTGTAGGTAGTTTTCATTCATTGTGTTGGGCACTTGGTGGACCATTTCAATCTAGAACCTCGCAGAGCAGATAAACATTTCTGAGTTATTTCATTAGTGATTTCCTGCCATTTTCTTTGTTCTGTTGGATCTCCTGAACTGATGTCTAATATTCTTATCTTTTCTAATTTTTCCATCTGTTTTTTGGTTCTATTTTCTGGGAGGTTTATCAGAATTTCTCTTCCAATGTGATTTTTTTTTCAATTCTGCCATCTTGTTAATTTCTTTTTTTCGTAGGGGGTGCGGGGGGCAGTTGGCCGCTGGCCAGTACAGGGATCCAAATTCCTGACCTTGGTGTTACAACACCATGCTCTAATCAGCTGAGCTAACCAGCCGCCCTTTTTCTAAGTGCCCTTTTTTTCTTTTCTGCTCTATGTCCTGATTTCCTGAATGTGAACTCTTCTCTTGTCTCACTAAAGATATTATTATTATTATTATTTTTTCCCTTTTTGTCTTTTTCCATGTCCGGCAATGGATCGCAACCCTCAGT